TTGGTTTCACTTAATATTTTTTTGGTTTTTGTTCTCATGGTCTGTGGGCCTTTCACTGGAGGACAGCCGTGATCATGAAGCACTCTGGCAGAACGACCGTCCTCCTCTACAAAGCTACAAGCAGCTCATTACGATCCGCGGTATGTTTCATCGTTCGATGACATCTAGTGGTCGTGTGGGACGGCACCAGTCTTTTCAGAAAATGTCCTAAACCAACATGTTGACGCTCGGGTGACGTAGTTACAGAGCAACAATGTCCTCGAAGGGAGGAGGTCGACATGGGTGGATGGATGGGTTGACAAAACACTGGACTTGTTCTGTAACCGACATGTTTATTGTAGTAACCATGACAACGAAGGCCTTCCAGAACCTTACCACAATACTTTGTTGTCATGTTATAAAAGGTTAAGATAGTTAGTTTGTTAATATTTATCTTTGAACGGTGATTTTGAACAGTGATTATCTGGGGCATGTCTCCTGCTGCCGCAGGAACACTAATTCATGAGACGCTCCTCTGGGTTGTTTCAGACAGGACGGACAAATGACATCAAGTTTGCAGGACTTGTTGTTGCAAACTGACGTTTTGGTTCTAGTTTAAAAGATAATTCTGGTTTATTACTGCCTGTTTTTGTTTTTATCATTCTATCTAGGGTACCAAGTTAACTGCAGAGATTAAGGAAGACACAAAAATTGCTGTAGTAAAGACCGACAGAGCAAGAAGTAGAAGGAGTCAGATGGTCAGACGGGTTGGAAACAAACACTTAAACCAGATTATCTAAACTACTCAATTTGTAGGTATGACGGGAAGAGAGCACACAAAATAATAATTATTATCTTTAAACATTTAAATCTTTAATGACGATGATGTGATTTAAAAAAAAAAAAGAAGATTATTTTGAAATGTAAAATTTCTAAAAATGTATATATAAGACATTTGAAAGGTGGATATTATGTCCAATAGTCTCTTACAGATGCATCATGAGGTGTGGCCTTATTGTCGCAAGAAAGTTTCTTAGAGTTAACGTGTTTAACTGCTACAGAGGAAATAAATTCTTGACTAGTGACATTGAGTTGAAAGCCTCTCCTGAAGACACACCAGTCATCTGTCATCTGTCACAACCAATCATCTGTCGAGCAGCCAAAAATTGCTAGTATCAAGAAAGATTGGAGCTTGACAACAATGAATGGATGCCAACTGTCTGATTTTTGCTAACTCTTACATTTTATAATTATCTTAATTATCCGTCAAACAGGCCAAAACAAAAATCCACGCTATTACTCAATCTGGATATACGTGACTACTCGATGTGTGTAAATCACAAGAATCAACATCCTCACTCCAGAAACAACATGACACAGGATCGTCTTCTCCCTGTGATGACGACAGTGAAGAGCTCCTATTTCGCTCCACATCCACATGAGCTCTGCAGACTAATAGAGGTTTGCCCTCCGAATCGGGATGAACCTTGAACTCAGGAAAGAGGAGAGAGGAGAGGAAAGAAAAAAAAAAAGAAGAAAGAAAACAGAACCCCACTGCTCCATCTGCATAGCAACCACATGGTGATTCTGTTTTCTCCCTCCTCTCATCTGTCACTAACAGGCTGGAGGAGCTGGACTTACTGACGTCTGTCCACACAGACAGGGTCAAAGGATTCTGGCATATGCGAGACTGTAATTTTTCATTTCAACATTTCATGCTGTTGATGCTACAAAAGCTGATTTTGTTTTGTTTGATGGACTTTTTTCTTCTTCTCAAAAGGCTTTCAAACAATAATGACAACTTCCTACTTGAAATCTTAAATTGAAGAGAGACATAAAAGCCAGAGTCTT